ATATGGTCCATTTACACAAAAGAGTACGACTCAGTGGCAAAAAACAATGACATCTTTAAATTTGCAGGTAAACAGACAAAATAGAAAAAAACATCCCGAGTGACATAACCCAGACTCAGAAAGACAAATATACACTCCCTCAAAAATGGATACCAGACATAAAGCAAAGGATAACCAGCCCACAGTCCACAACCTCAGAGAAGCTAGAACTCTCTTCCAGAAACAGATGGAAGCAGATACAGAGATCCACAACTAACCACTGAGAAGAGTTCCAGGTGAAGAGAGGGACGAGTGAGAATATAAACAAAGGGGTCAAGACTATGATGAGGAAACCCATAGAATCAGCTGACCCAAACTTGTGGAAGATCACTGACTCCTGACTGACAACAGGGGGAACCTTCACAGTACCAAACAAACCCCCCTGAATACAGGTGACAATGGTGTGGCTTGTGTGACCAGGATCTAACTCTAATGCATGAACCAATTCTCTATGTAGAGATACCTTGCCAGGTCTAGGCATGGGGAAGGAGGTTGAGGGCCTTGGTCCTGTCTCAATGAGGGGATGACATGGTCATAGTTGACTTCCCAAGCAGGGCCTTAACCTCTCTGAGGAGTGGACGGGAGGTGGGGGGGAGGAGAGGGAGAGCAAGAGGAGAGGAGGGGAACTGGGATTGTTATGCAAAAAATTAATTAATTAGTCAATTAGTCAATCCACTAATTAAAATAAAAATATTGTCATAAAAAGTAAGACTTTGGAATCTGGAAAGATAGGTTGGGAACTAAGGGCCCTGGCTGAAGAGTCAGTTCAATCCCAGCACCCATATGGTAGCTCATAACCATCTGCAGCAGCACTTCAGGGAATCAAGTACCTCCTGTAGCCTCCGCAGGCTCCTGCATGTATGTGATGCACATACATACACTTTCACATATATAAGATTAAATAAATATTTTTAAATCCCTGATAATGGAATGCTATTGTTTAAAGAACAATATAGGATAGCAGATATTCATAATCTCTTTTCAAAAATCTTATTTAGTTATTCTTTTAAAGTTATATATAATGTGTGAGCGTGTGTCTGTGTGTGAGTTTATGCACTTAAGTATGATGATCTCAGAGGCCAGCAAAGGGTGCTGGACCCTCTGGAGCTGGAGTTACTGGCAGCTGTGAGCTATCTGACATGGGTGCTGAGAATCAAACGCAGGTCCTCTGGGAAGGTAGTAGTATATTCCTAATTGCCAAGCCATCTCTCCAGCACCCCATGCTGTCTTTTTAAATACTTATCTTCCCTTCCTTTTTCTGACAGGACTCCTTTTGGGGTGCCAAGACACACAGCAGCACATAAAGATTTTGGTTCATCTAAGCTGATGAAAATTCTGCTTCCCATCTTCCTAGTTTCCTCTATAGTGAGGGAAACCCTGGAGACCAGCTCCAGGGAGGATGGCGGCTGGTATGATAGACATTACCCTTCCCTCACCATGGGGGCTGCATTCTGAACAAAACAAAGGCATTTCAAGTTGCTTCACATATTTCCAGTGTTGTACATTTTGGGGTTAACATGGAGCATGTGTAGAAAAAACACATTGCCCATCTAAAGGTACTCAACATTTTTTTAAAATTTAAGTACTGAAATGAGGGAACAAAAGTCTCAATGGGCCCAGACAAATCCATTCCATTTATAAAATCTAAAATATAAGTGCCTATTAATTTAACCCTTAAACTCTTGTCAACATTTATTAAACACAACAGATTTATCTTTTAGTTTCGTTTTTTCTTTTCTTTTTTAAAGACACAGTCTCACTATGTAGCCCAAACTGGCCTTGAAGTTGAGATCTTCTTGTCTTTGCTTCCCCTGGTACTGGATATTACAGACATACACTGAGCTAAAAGTGTGTGTGTGTGTGTGTGTGTGTGTGTGTGTGTGTGTGTGTCTGTGTGTGTGTGTCTGTGTATGCGCGTGTGTTTGTATTCATAGGGATTGAAACCAGTTATAGGATTCTGGTGATGAGCAGCAAGCAATTTCTCTCCCATCTTATTGGTGTGCTTTCTTTAAATTGAAATAACACAGTGGTAAGAGTTCAGGTCTTGGGGTCAGACTTCCTTGAATCTAATCCCACCTGTAGCATTTACTATGTAAACATCCATAGTATTACACCTCCAATAATTACTAAGATGGAGACAATTGTAGCACATACTTCTAAAAACAGTGATAAAGATAAAATGCCAAAAAATAACATAAGGCATTTAGTAGAGTCTTGGAACATAATGTTTAATAAATATAAGCTTTTTAAAAAATACTTCCAAATGTTAGTATATAGATTCAAGTAGGGAAATAATCATTGTGTGAGCAGGGGACCTTGCTTCCTATGTGCCAAAGAATGCTTTATGCCTTAGGCCTTCTAGTGAACAAACTGAAGGATGAATAATTAAGGTTGCCTGAAAACCTTTAGACTGTTTGGGTTTTAAGTAAGGTTAAAACAACATGATTGCTCAGTTGTCTTAAGTAAAGGGTTACACAACCGCTAAGAGTCAGGAGCAATATGGCTAGTCTGTGTCAACTTATCTGAAAGGAAGGGACTGAACTGAAAAAAATTTCTCCATAAGGTCCAGTCATAAGGCATTTTTGTTTGTTTGTTTGTATTTTTAAAAGTTTTATTCTTGCCGGGCAGTGGTGGTGCACGCCTTTAATCCCAGCACTCAGGAGGCAAAGACAGGTGTGTCTCTGTGAGTTCGAGACCAATTTGATCTACAGAGCAAGTTCCAGGACAGGCTCCAAAGCTGAACAAAGAAATCCTGTCTTGAAAAAACAAACAAACAAACAAAAAACAAAAACAAAACACAAAAGTTCTATTCTTAAAGAGTAAGAAATTTGAGATTTTTTTTAAATAACCGCAAAAGGAACTCTTTCATACCTAACAACTATTGACTATTAACAGAAGTAGTCGTGTGTTCTCTAAACAGAAATCACACTGATGTACTGCTATAATAAACTATCTATTAATTAAAAAATACACTTTAGGGCACAGAGTTGTATCACAAATTTTACAGAAGGGATACTTTGCAATAATTTAATTAAACTAGAATAATTTTTAAATGCAGCACTTAAAAACGTGCATTCTTTTTCTTAAAAAATGAGCTTGCATGTGAGAAATGATGCTTTATTGCTGCAGAGGTCAAAGTTCAAGGCTCAAGAGGTACAGGAGAGAATACAAAGGTAGGTGAGGCATTTTCTTAATTATTGATTGATGGGGTAAGGCCCAGCAGACTGAACAAGCCATGAGGAACAAGCCAGTAAGAACACCCCTCCACGGCCTCTGCATCAGTTCCTGACTCCAGGATCCTGCCCTGTTTGGATTCCTGTCCTAACTTCCTTCGGTGATGAACAGTGACACAAAAGTGTAAGCCAAAGAAACCCTTTCCTCCCCAGCTTGCTTTTTGGTCATGGTGTTTTGTTGCAGCACTAGAAGCTCTAACTAAGACAGGCAGAATTGGGAGTAGGGTGTGTGCCTAGCTTGTCCATGTGAACTCTTATGCTCTAGCCTTATGGACTCTGAAGCCTCACTCCACACAAGATGACAACGAGACAAAAGGCAAATAATAACCCCAGATGACACTGAGACCGACTCTGTGACTGAACTGGCTTGATGATCGACCCTTCCTTCCACCCACCTCTGGACCAATCCCTTCCAAAGCTACATATTCAGTTAAAAAGGATGATCTTGCCTGGTAGAGAAGGTAGATAAATGGCTATTCTTCCCTACTAGAAGCTCAAATCAAGCTCTCAAAATGATAAGAGATATGCTGATCATTTTTGCAAACCTTTGACTGTCCATCTTCAGCCTCCATGTCAGGACAATACAGTGTCTTACCAGGCAGGCAGGCATGGGAGCAACAGGAAGTGAAAGAGTACCTCCAATGTTTGCGTATCTGAAGAGATCCCGTCAGTGTGGCCTAAGAAAGCTCACTGCCACCTGGATCACAGCCATGGGCCAAGAGGTATGTTTTCAAAGAACAAACAGATTTCCAGAGAACATACCTAAAGAGGAGGCCTGCAGGAAGCTACAAGCTAAGCAAGCTCAGCTATCTGAGAACAGGGAAGCACACATCAAGAGGAAGGAAGAGATCATTGAGATTGTCCAAAAAGGAAGAGTCCAAGAGATGGAGTCTTCTCTTATCTGTACCAAGTGGCTTCAGCCAGCAGTTATGTTGGTTAGTTATCCAAAAAAGTGTCAACTTCTTTCACAGGAGACAATGTACTGCATTAGTTGGTCATTTTGCCACCAAAACAATCAAAAACTGCTAAGTCAGAGACATGTACAATATGCCTGTAGAATACAAACTAGTCCACTAAATTTCAGACTTCATAAGCATATGACATTTTTAATGACAACAAAGCAACCATACTGTATTGGAGGGGCAGTTTTCCAAAACATCATCATGGTACTCTGTTTTCCTCCCCAGCATTAAAGAGCCAAAATAGTAAGTAATACATTTAGCTAATCATACTACAAAAAAAACACACTTATACATAGACATGAAATTTTTGAATCAAATAATAAAATTACCTTTACCTCTTCAACCTTATATTGGGCATTGCATTGTCGTTAGAAACAATTCTCTCCCATTTAAATTAGGTTTGGTGGGAGTTATCTAACAGAAAACCACCTGCCTTCCCTCTTTGGATGGAAGATGATCTACTCATGGGCCATCTGGTATAGTAGCAATAAGGCTGTGTCCATACACAGTTCTAATCTCCTTCAGTAATTTTAGACCCACCTCTAACTACATACTTTATTTTAATTTTTTTTAAAGCAAACATGTTTTAATTATGAGCTAAAATGTCTAATATATTAAGCATGAATTATAAAAATCCAGAATCTAAATACAGTGCTAGAGAATTTCACAATGGGAAGATGAATGAAAATTTTTTTCTACATACATTATGATGAACAGACAAGCAGATCTCATTCGGAATGGTAAGGCCAAATAGTAAAACCACACTTTCCTATAAAAGCTGCACATCACCTCTAGGGACAGCTATCATACATGAAGAAACAAGGCATGGCTGCTCTACTGCACACCAGGAGCAACCTCATCCTGGAGGGGCTAGTCATCGTCTTCCTCTCCATCATCCTCAGCATCTCGCTTCCTTTTCTCTCCCCGCACACCCTCTTCTTCCTCTTCTTCCCCTTCACCAACATAATCATCATCGTCTTCTTCATCCTGAATTTCTTCTTTCATTAAGTATGAGAGGCCCACCTCCTCTTCTCCCTCTCCCGCTTCTGAACCTGCTTCATCCTCATCTTCATCCTCCTCTTCCTCCTCCTCTTCATATCCTTCAGGTGGACCAGCTTCATCTTCCTCCTCATCATCCTCATCTTCATCTCCATCCTCCTCGTCCTCCTCTTCCGAGTCGGGGGCCTCGTTGCCCTCCTGGTGGAATCCATCTAAGTAGGTGATCTGCTGCAGCAGCTCGAAAATGCTTTCTCGGTAGTCCTCCAGGTTTGTGATCTCACAGTTAAACAAGTCGAGACTTTTCAAATTCTTAAAATTTTGCAGAGCTTCTACTGTACTGAGATCTTTGATTTTGTTTCCGCTCAGATTGAGGTAGGTAAGATTTGGACATTTCTCTGCCAGGACTTCCAAGCCTCCAGATATTATATTGTCGCTGAGTTCCAACTTTCGAAGTTTATTCAAGCTGGGAAGCCGGGCCAAGGAACTCAATTCCACGTTGGCCATACTAAGAAACTCCAGTTCTTTAAAGGTGTCATTGAGGCCTTCGATCTCCCCATTGACACACAAGCAATTATCAAGGACTAACTCTGTCACCTCCTCCGGGGCTCTGTTCTTCAACTACAGGTTAATCTTCTTCATCTCCATGTCCTCCTCCTTTCCCCTCGCGCGCCCGCCCCACTGCCCCCAACCCTAAAAAACCTCTAAAGGTCTGGAGATGAATGAAAAGAGACGCAAAGACGGATGCCCACTACCACCCGGGTGTGGGGGAGAAAGAAAAGAATAGCAAATGGAGTCAGACGACTTGGGACGAACTCGGCTGCCCCCACCTTCTAGTCCAAACACCCGCACACGCACACACGGGCACGCAGCACACACATTCACACACAGAGACACGCGCGCGCCCGCAGTTCCTTCCCCTTCAATGGCTGCTGCGAGACTCCTTTATTTTAATTTTTGAAGACAGGGTCTTGCTATGTAACCCTGGAATTCACTATGTAGACCAGACTGGCCTTAAATTCACAGAGATCTACCTGCCTCCAAGATTAAAAGTGTGTACCACCATGCCCAGCTTACCCACGCACTTTTATTTGACTGTTTCCCTATCATCTCGACCTCAATCTAAAGTCAAATATGTCAGCTCTTTCCCCAGAACATTAATTTGTCTTCCCATTTCCTATTGCTAGAGTCCTTCTCTTGGTGATCGGGCTTGGATTATGAAATTGTTACCCCTTCTCCTATCCCCATGATATTAAAGTTTGATAGCAATCACCTACCTCTTTTCTTTTTTTAATTCTTGACTTTTCTTTCATTTCTGACACTAATGCCCAGGTTCCATCACCCTACATCCAGATTCATGTAACAGCTTAATCACTTTCTAAAACAAAGTTGCCTTGTTCTTCAGGAACTTTGAATGGGCCCTTAGTACTCACTAAAGGCACCTACATCAAACATGGTCTCAAACCACAGCTTTCTCACTATCAATCTGGTTGCCTCCATTTTCAGGACGTTTTTTATAACTCAAATTCAGTTTTCCTAGGCTTAGGTTCAGTCTTTGGTCACCCTTTGCTTCACTTGCAGAACTTCCTGTCCTTCTGCACAGCTCACTCCTCAGCCTTTGTACATTATGATACCCACGTGACTTTCTACACTTAAGTCTGTGTCCTACTTTTTTGTCCCTAAAGTGCTTATCAGCTAATAAGCACATTAATATGTCACAATATCTGAAAGGGAGGCTTCCAGTTTTCACTCATCCTGAGATTCCCTTCTCCATTTGCAACAGCCCATCCTCCAGCCTCTGTGGAACACTCGGGAACCTCTCACCCGAGTCAGACATCCCGTTACATCCTTAGAGAGGTCCCTTCAGCCGCCGGGACAGGGTGAAGTGACAGTGCCAAGTGCAAGACAGTGCATGTTCAGATCCCTTTACATATCATGCACAAGCAGAAGCTGGAGTTATCTTTCCTAAGGAGGGTTTGAGTGACTGGAAGATGATGCTTGCAAATGTATCATTTTCATTAGTAAGCTTGCTGGTGTGCTTAGTAATAAAGCAAAAGTTGTCTTAGTTCTTTCTTATATGCTTAAATCTCCTGTGAAACTTTCACCCTGACCCTCATTCTCATCTCCAGAGCTGCCCAGCACAACTTAAACATGCTTATTGAGCAATTAATTAACATATCAATGAACTACTACGAAGAATCGTGCAGACACAGACCTAAGGACTATCACAGGCTTCTGAAGTAACCTTTGGGGTGGCAGTATTGTTCACAGTAGAGCCGAGCATGCAGAAGGTCCCAGGTGTGACCACCTGCACCATAACCATGACCACACACACACACGTAATATATTCTTTTAACGAATTAAAAATGTACAATACTATGTCTTAACATGCTCTAAAAATCTCCTAAGAAATAGGAACACTTTCCAAATTATATATCTTACTTTTCTCCATATGCCAAATATTCTATTTTGTTGGTTGCCTAAAGCTTATGTGTCACCTACGCTACAGGACAAGCTTTAAGTCTGTAGTACCCTCTTACATGAAGTCCTAAGGTATGCTTAGTTGCTTTAATAATGCAGTAACAGTTTTCAAAATTATATATAATCTCCTAATTACAAAGCAGCCTTAGGGAAAAGGACATTCCTAGGTCCTATGAAAAGTTCACAAGATGAATGGAGATGCTCTTCCTCCATTATGAATAGGTATTTCCTGTGCTGTAATCCTGGCTCTGTAAATATTTCCAGCATCAGTAAAATATACACAAATATTATACACTAATTGAGAGTCCTTCTCAATCTAATGTGCTCATGACATCTTTGCCCCAGAATATACTAGAACATTAACATGAATACATAATTAGAATTTGTAAAGATTCACCTAATGAAAAACACCCTAAGTGGATCCAGTTGAAACAGAGAAAGAGAAGACAAAACACCCCCTTTCCTTAGAACTATAAGCAGCATTGCATGTGTGTTAAGCACCTGAGTGGATGGGTGTAATGGTATGTAGGCATATGCCCATGTGAATACATTCAGAGGCTAGACTAAGATAATAGGTGTCTTTCTATTACCTTCCACATTATTGCCTTGACACAGGTCTCTCACTGAATTAGCAGCTTGCCTTTTTGAGTAGGCTGGTAGTCTAGGGTGTTCAGGAACTGCCCATCTTTGCCTCCCCATTATTGGGGTTACAGCCATGTGAAACCATGCTTGACTTCGTAGGTGAGTTCTGTGGATCTGAACTGAGGTTTGCATCTTTCCAGGCAAGCACTCTTACCTACTAAGCCATCTCTCCAGCCCCCAAGGTCTCCTAAATGATGAAATCAATACCGGCTCTAGGCATTCCTCATACTCATCAACACAAACCTGGCCAGAGAAATATTCTCAAGCCTCTGTATGACCAGCCTCCAATTTGAGCTCTAAGATGTTAACATCATGAAACTTATTCCTAAACTCATCTGAATTTTATAAGTACAGGTAACTTCAAGCAGCAATGACAAAGATCACCAATAACAGTGAACGCTGAGGTTTCTAATTGCTTCTAAAAGTCCCGTTAGTTCAATCCCATAAGCTCACCACCAGTGACTTCTGGGTAAAAAGTATCTCCAGGAGTTGGAGAATTCTTTCCCCTTTCCACCAAGTACAAAGAAGAGTATGGAAGACCTGTGAGTATAAGAATTACCAAGCACCTATCTGCCCTCCTCAGTTCGGTCGCTACTGGACTCCCAGTCTCGGGTCTAGGAAACCTTGTGACTCAGACTTTTACTTCTAGTTTTAAATATGTTAAAACCAATGGACAACAGGAAAAAAAAATCCTAAAGTCCTGACTGCTGATATGACTCTCTCCTAATGCATTTCTATAGCTGTGTAAGACTCATAGAAGATTCACTCCTCCTTCTGCTGGGCCTCAGTTTCTCAATTCATAGAAAGACTCAAGATTTCTACAATCAAGTTATCTCTTAGGCTCAAGGAGCCACTTTTCCAGATACAGTCATATTCTGGCCTCCTGGCCAAAAAAAAAAAAAAAGAGGGTGGGTTATCTTCCATCTCCTTTGTGGTTACTGCTGTTCCTGAAGGGCAGAGAGGGAAGCGGGAGAAAATTCCTGTGAATACCTTCCTTATCACCTCCAGGACTAGATGGAGCAATCAGGCAGTCAAGCCAGGGCTTCTACAAACAGGTCCTTCTTGGCCCCTCTCATCTGTGCTGAGATCTGAAGAATCCAAAAGCAGTGACGACATCATTCCTGTCTCTGGAGCTGCGGTTCAGTGAGGAGACGGTCTTTACTCCTAACCCCAATAGGGAACAGCTAGGTGCCAAACTATCATCTAGCCCTAATAATAAGAGAAAAAAGTCAACTATATAAACTATTAGTAATTTGAATGACATCCAACCCAACCTTTATTCCAAGCATAAATCTTCCACTAACGTTGTGGAAATCGCAACTCACCAAACATTCTATTTAAATTATCTAAGTCTCTTGTGACTGAATCATTTTGGTTTTGACTGGAACTAAAACTCTGATCTGTTAGACTAAATGGTAAAAATTATCAAGACTTTTTAAGAAGTGTAATATGTATATTGTTTTTTAAAAAACCAGGCACAAATCTAACACAGAAGCTAAAGTAAACCTGTTCCGTAGGCAGCTACAGCACCACTCAGCACGTCTGCCAGGCTCTTCTCTACCCCAGTAAGCAGAAGGCTACAGCACAAGACGCGTGGAGCCCTCTGCAAAGCACAATTTGAAAAGCACTGCTTTAAAGGTAATTTGAATAAACCTTTCCAGCTGCACAGCATCCCTTATCTTCTTGGAAATATTAGCTGCTTAACACTTGATGTTCTTTCCCGTCAGATCACCTAGTCTAATCATTCTCCTCAAAAAAAAAATTTAAGCAAAACTATATCTGAACACAATTTTAACAGGCTGAGAACACAGCTTCTCTAGCTACCTGGACACCAGGCCTAGTAAGCAAAAGTGAAAAGGGGAGCTGAGTGGGGCCTTTGCGGTCACAGGGTGCAGAGAGGCAGAGATGGGGGAAGATAATGTTCTGGGTTGGGATACAGAAGGAAGATGAGGACCTTCTGACTCATTTGGCCACTTCTCTTCCAGACCCAAGGCTTCTGTTCTACTTGGCAGATACTCCCTTCTCATTTTAAGCCAGATCTTATCTCTATGAATATAGGGTTTGGGTTGGGACCAATTAGTGGTGTGATCCAATCAGTACTAAAACTGCATCATTTCCATATTCTAGACATTGCCATAGGGGAAACCACACTGGATGAAGATGTTAGATAAATCTGTGAAAAAACAGTTCTCTCTCAATGAGTCGTCTTGACAATAGCAACCACATGAAGCACATCCCTGTGGGCTTTCAAATCTAAAGCCACTCCAAAGGACACCAAATCTGCAGAAAATTAATCTTTCCTTTACTAGTTATCAAACTACAGGTAATGAGTACTCTGCTTGGACTGTAAAATTAACAGCATTTTCAAGGAAATGAAGTTCATGCATTAGGGCAACACATCTGTGAGAGCCAATACTGAGAGACCACATTACTTGAATTTCCCTTTTACAAATAAGAATGCAAGCACATCGCTCCTTTACCTTATTTGGTTTTTCAGTCAAGAGGAGCAATTTTTAAAGACGTTGCACTACAAACCTTTT